CAAGGTTTCTTCCTCATATCATCTCAGGGAGTTTTTCCTTGCCACTGTCGCCACTGGCTTGCTCATTAGGGATAAATTCACAGTGATAAATTCAAATATTTACAATATATTTTTGTGAATCCATTTATTTCTGTAAAGCTGCTTTGTGACAATGTCCATTGTTAAAAGCGCTATACAAATAAAATTGAATTGAATTGAACTGCATTTCTTTGATGAGTACCTGTACTGTGCAATGACAATAAAGTTGTATCTATCTATCTATCTATCTATCTATCTATCTATCTATCTATCTATCTATTTGTTCCATTGCAGCTTGTTATTAATTGTGTAAACAATTAATAGCTCTGAATGTCTACTCTTGGTTTGATCCCTGGGTTTCACCTGTGAAGATTGCATTTGTTGTTAAAAAGTAAAAACCAATATGAAGACCAGAGAGCTGTCTATGGGAGAAAACCAAACCATTTTGAAGCTGAGAAAAGAGGGTAAATCGATCAGAACCATTGCACAAGCATTGGGCATAGCCAATATAACAATTTGGAATGTCCTGAAAAAGAAAGAAACCACTGGTGTACTCACAACCACATGGCCAAGTCAAACAACAGCAGTTGATAACAGAAATATTGTGAGAGCTGTGAAGAAAAACCCAAAAACAACAGTCAGTGAAATCACCAACAACCTCCACAGGGCAGGGGTGAAGGTATCACAATCGACCGCTCAAAGAAGTCTTCAAGAGCAGAAACATATTGAGGCCATACCACAAGATGCAAATCATTTATCATCAGTTAGAATCAGAAGACCAGATTGGAATTCGGAGAGAAATACAGAGATGAGCCAGAAATGTTCTGGAACCAAGATTAACCTCTACCAAAGTGATGGAAAGGCCAAAGTGGGGAGAAAGAAAGGATTTGCTCATGATCCAAAACATACGAGCTCATGGGTCAAGCATGGTGGAGGTAGAGTCATGGCTTGGACTTTCATGGCTGCTTCTGGAAAATGCTCGCTAATCTTTATTGATGATGTAACTCATGATGGTAGCAGCAGAAAGAATTCAGATGTTTACAGAAACAATTCAGTTCAATTTTAACAATGGACATTGTCACAAGGCAGCTTTACAGAAATATATAAATTCAGGATATAAATTATAAATTTACAAATTTATCCCTATGAATTTATCCCCATTGAGCAAGCCAGAGGCGATGGTGGCAAGGAAGAACTACCTGAGATGATTTGAGGAAGAAATCCTAAGAGGAACCAGACTCAAAGGGGAGCCCATCCTCATCTGGGTGACAATGGATAGTGCAATTATAAATAATTCCTTTCTATAACCGTATACTATATAGTCAAAAAGTGCAACTGTGTAACCAAGAAAATTCATTACAGTTTTCACATGAAGTCTATTTTGTTGAAGTTGTCTACTGTTCACAAACATTCTGTCTGAAGAATTTATAGAGAAATACATCCAATGTAATTGGTAGGAGCTTCATCATTCCGCAAGACAATGACTCGAAACACACTGCCAACACAACAAAGGACTTCACTGGGGGGAAAGTAGAAGGTTTTAGACTGGCCAAGTCAATCACCAGACCTTAACCCAATTGAGCAACAATTCACCTCCTGACGAGGAGACTGAAGGGTGAAATATCCCAAAACAAACAACAACTGAAAGAAGCTGTGCTACAAGCTTGGGAAATTTTTCAGAAGATTCATCTGGAGCTCCATTGCAGCTCCTCTCACCTCTCTCCTTAAGAAAGGGCCTAAGAAACTGCAGTGGAATACAGCCACAAACCACACATTCAGCCAGCTGAAAGAGGCATTTACCAATGCCCCCGTCCTGCAAAATCCTGACCCCTCCAAAGCTTTCATAGTCGAGGTGGATGCATCTGAGACAAGAGTGGGGGTTGTACTGTCCCAGAGGTTTGGAGAGAAACCCAAGCTCCATCCTGTTGCATTCTTCTCCAAAAACCTTTTGCCCACAGAGCACAACTAGGACATTAGTAACAGGGAGCTTCTTGCTGTAAAGTTGACCCTGGAAGAGTGGTGCCACTGTCCCCATTTGTCATTTACACAGACCACAAGAACCTGGAGTGCACAGGTACTGCCAAAAGGTTGAACTCTCACCAAGCAAGATGGGCCCTGTTCTTTAAGAGATTCCAGTGTACCCTTTCATACTGGGGGTCTAAGAACACAAAAGCAGAGTCCCTTTCACATCTGTACCACATGACTACCAAAGAAACAACTGAGGAGTTCATCACAGTAAATTCATCACAGTTTTCAACAGAGGTCTGGTTTGTTAAATCTATCCACTGTCCACTGATGGAGTCCTGAATACAAAGCTGCTCCTGGCAACTGTAGCCCCAAAGCCACCACAGCAATCGCAGTCCCAAGCTATCACAGTACAACTCCACATATGAGATCC